CTACGTCAATCGCGTCCGTACACTACGCGATCAACTTGAAAAGAGCGGAGGATACTTCCCTCGTGAGATGTATCTCACTGTCCTTCTGGCTGGTCTTGGACCCGAATGGCGACAGACGCGTGCCTTCCTGCGCATGAATCCGAACCTCTCCGAAGCCGAAATTTCTTCTTATCTTCAAGCAGAGCAGCAAGATCTTGACCTGCAGTCACAACGCAACCAGAAAAGCAGGGTTCATTTAAGTTTTTACTCCAATCCTGAAACACAGCATCGACATCCGCCAAAATATCCGTTCTGCCACTACTGTAAGAAACCAGGCCATACTTACCAGAATTGTCGCAGCCGTCATCAAACCCGTCGCAACACTTCGCAGCCGTATCACCGTTCGCAGCAGACACCAAAGACACAATCGCCACAGCAGCAGTTAACTCCTCCGCAGCAGCAGATGCCGAAGTCGTCACAGAGTTCATCAACTTCACAACAGCGCCCGCCGGTCTTCGCATCTGCCACATCAGGGAAAGGCGTTTTTGGATGTGTTACAACGGTTGATGTTTCAGAAACAGATTTCGAAACACGCCTTGAAGAAACAACAAGTGCTGAAGGCATTCCTTTACCTCAAGTTTATGCTAACCTTGCTCGCATAATTTCAGGACCAAATACCTGGTATCTCGACAGCTGTTGCGGATGGCATATGTGTTCTGCTGAAACAAGTTTCATCACGAATCAGCGTCCTCTTCGTCGTCCGATACCTGTAACAGTCGCAAACGGACAAACGATAATGGCACGTTCAGTTGGAAGTGTCATGTTGGAATCAATCGACACGGGATACTCACTTCATGTTACTAACGTTCTTATCGTCGCTGGTCTCGGCTTCAATCTTCTTTCCACGGCTCAACTCCTGGCACACAAAATTCGCACACAAGGAAACTGTGATACGATGGATCAAGAGCTCTGGCACAGCTCAACAAATACTTATCTTGGTCGTGCCGCCACTCAACATGGCGTGTCAGTTCTTCAGTTTGCCGCACAAGGAACTTCTGGTGATTCTGAACGCGTGCTTGCACTTGGTCCCTGGGATCATCCGGAAGAAACAGATTATCAGCACGTGGATATTGATTTTCGAGCAACTACAGTACCTACAACTTCAAGAACTGCAGCAGCCGTACTTACTGCGTTGGATACCTGGGAGTTGAACACTGCCGATGAAGGCGCCACTGCATGGCGAACGTTTTACAACACTCGTGCAGCCTTCCAAGGAACTCCAGCACCACTTTGGGGGGAGATTAGTGGTCTTGCAGCTGATGAACTCAACGTCGTCACGGAAGCAGAACAGGAAGTAGCTGAGCAGCCGAGTTCAACCGTAGTAGTTGCCAAAAAACCTGCAACGACATCAACAGAAGCAATATCAAAAACAGTACTTGAAACTACAGCCGCACCTTCTACAGTTATTTTACCACCTACACGTTTTATTGAAGGAGACGTCGACAAATCACCAGCGCTATCTCCTTTTGTCCTCTCTTCTTTTTACACTAACTCCGATTTTTACCTGCGATCATCAGGACACAAAGCCACAGAAGACATATGGCATCAGCGTTTAGGACATCCATCTCAAGCAATACTAAATCATTCAATCCGAGCAGCAGTTCTTGATAAAAACAGTTTACTATTACCTGATGGCACGGAGCTGAAGCCCCAGACTTGTCCGACGGTTTGCACCACATGTCCAGTTGCCAACCTTACTCACGATCCATTTCCAAGTCATTTTCCTGGATCAATTCGTTACAAACTGATGCAGAAAGTCTACAGCGACATACTAAACTTACCTGAAGCAGGACCGAAAGACGAGAAGTATGTCATCACTTTTATCGAAGCATCTACACGCTATGTCTGGACAGCAAACCTTCCGGCTCGCTATCTTGCGCACTCCGTCTTCGTCGCGTGGCTTGCAGTCGCTGAACGAGAGTCTGGAGTCAAACTGCAAGAATTTCAGAGTGATGGTGCAGGAGAGTATACCAGCAACACCTTCACAGAATACCTTCAGACACTCGGCATCAAACGGAAGCAGGCTCTGCCACATGCACACCAACAGATGGGGGTAGCAGAAAGGATGAACAGGACTCTGCAGGAGAAGATGCGTGCTCTGCTGACGCAGGCAGCCCTTCCACCGCATTTCTGGCCATATGCGATGGACCATGCCGTGCTGTTATACAATCTTCTTTCTTCAACGTCCCTGCCCGAGTTCTCATCTCCGCACCTGCAGTGGGCAAAAACAGTTGGGAGCACAAAACTTTTACGACTTTTCGGGTGTGTCGTTCAGTTTCGACCTCCAACTGCAGCACTCGGCAAATTTTCCGAAAGGGCAAAATGGGGGTTACATCTTGGTATCGAAAAACAGTATCACGCGTGGAAGATTTTGGATCTCCGCTCCAACCAAATCGTTCCATCACGGGATTGTCTTTTCTATGAAAGACTCACCTTGCCCGTTTTTCGTGCCCACCAGGCAGCAGCTGCAAACCCCGCCAGTCTGTTCGAAGGCTCGCGTGCGTTTGCCACTGACGAAGCAGAAGCTGATGTACAGGACGAAGCAGTTTCTGAAGCATCCGACGCTGCTGCAACTGACATTCCCGAACCTGTAACCTCGACTGGCATACCTGAATTTATCCCACTTGCAGATGCTGACCCGGATGACGTTCGCGAAGTTCGTCTAAGTTACGAGCGTGATCGCCAACAGCAGCCGATGCCCGTCGTCTCCGACGAAGCAGTTCGTGTTACACCTGACGAAATTGGGGGGGAAGAAGGACCAGAAGAAAATTTCGCAGGTGCAAACGAAGAACGTCCGCGTTTTACAGAAACAGGATTGCAAATACTGGGATTTGCAGTAGCAGTACAGCACAACGACAGTAAGATACCTGAACCGAAAACCGTTCGACAAGCTCTTACGAGTCCTCACCGAGAAAAATGGCGCGAAGCCATGGATAAGGAGCTAGCAGCACTCAAGAGTCGCGGCACATGGGATTTAGTACCGACTTCAGAGGTTAAAGGCAAAAAGGTACTCACCGGAAAATGGGTTTTCCGCGTCAAGACTAACGCAGATGGGTCGTTTGAAAAATTCAAAGCACGGTGGGTCGTCCGCGGATTCGAGCAGACTTACGGCATCGACTATGAGTTAACCTTTGCTCCTGTCGGCCGACATACAAGCGTTCGGATTCTGCTGTGTTTTGCCGCCTGCCGTAATCTCTGACTTCGACAAATCGACGTCTCGAATGCATTTCTCTACGCGCCTGTCGACGCACTTATTCTGGTAGAGTACCCGCATTCCTACACTACTAACCCACCGAGCATTTGTCGCCTCCGAAAATCTTTGTACGGCATCAAACAGGCACCACGGCTCTGGCAGGAGTATCTTTACTCGCAGCTGATCAATGCTGGATTTCGACAGTTACCGCATGATCAGGGAATGTATCGACTGATCGACGGCAGCAACTACATTTTACTCGTTGCCTACGTCGACGACATCCTATTCGTCAGTACTACCGATTCCCTCGCTAAAATCTTCATACTGAAACTACAGAAAAATCTACAGATTACCGTCTCCGAAAAAGTCTCACAGTTTCTTGGCCTGAATATTACCAGTTCACTGACGACTATTCATTTTACTGCTTCTAAGTATGCAGCAACACTCGCTGCCCGCTTCAACCTCACGCCTACTACAGTTTCTACTCCGTACCGATCACTACCGACAGATTACAAACCGAATACTGCACCGCTAACTCCAACCGGTTTACGGATTTATCAGCAGCAACTAGGCTGTCTACTCTTCGCAGCTGTTACCTGTCGTCCTGATCTAGCCTACGCAGCCAGCCAGCTTGCTCAGTTCCTACGCTGTCCTGAGGAGGAACATCAGCTCGATCTACTCCGCGCGCTTCAATATTTTATCTCGACACCTGACGTCGGATTAGTCTACAACGTCATCGGCTGTAAAACACTCTATCTACACGGTTTTGTCGACGCCGATCACGCTGCTGATTCTACTAATCGACGATCGCGCACTGGATTTATCTATCGACTGGAACCTATCGGTCCTATCTCTTGGAATTCGACGAAGCAGGAACTGATTGCCCTCTCCTCTGCTGAAGCTGAGTTTATTGCTGTCTGTACAGCAACACGCGAAGGTCTCTACTTACAGGAACTACTGGAAGAAGCGGCGTTGACGACAACTACCCAGTTCACCTTACAGTGCGATAATCAAAGTGCAATTTGCATCGCACATCAACCTGGTTTCGTCAACAGAACGAAGCATATTTCGCTTCGCTATTTTTTCGTCAAAGATGAAGTCGAGAAGGGGAGGATGCGATTGGTTTACTGTTCGACCAACGAAATGGCTGCCGATTTTCTCACGAAGAAGCTGACACGACAGAAGTTTCAGTACTGTAACAAGCTTTGCGGAATCTTCAAGAAGTGACACTGTCGACGTTCCAGAAATGAAGGGGAGTGTTGTGATATAATTAGTACTTAGCATTTCCGTAAGTCGATAAAGTGTAGTTAGTGTCGAATCCTACTGTAGAATATAAGTCCGTAGGATGACGTCAGCAAATAGCGCTCGTCATAGGACAGTCGCTTCAGTCACGCGAATAGTCGCACCTCTTCATTATCATCTAAGGCGCATAGCGTGATAGTGACGAACAGGTACATTAGCGAACAGGTACTTTTCGTAGAAGTATAAATACTTGTTAGATCTTTGTCATTATTAACTTTTGATTACCACAAGTTCACGTACTCAGGTTATTCAACCTTGACCAGTATATTTTACAAGACTTCCGCTGTCTTACTAGTCTACCATTCCAGCAAAGATCCTGGACCAACACTTGAGGATTTGCCAAGTGTTTGTGTTTATAGTTTTATACTTAGTCTACTACAACACCAGACTATTTACTTCAGCATTCAGGGTTCGTACGCGTTACTCCCTGAAAACTCAGTGTTGGGATAACGCAAACCCTGAAAATTTCAGTGTTCACAAACATACAACCCTGAAGAGGTTAGGGTTCAAAAAAACCCAACCCTGAAAATTAAGGGTTGGCAAAAAAATACCCTGTGAAATCAGGGAATCAGGGTAAAATACCCTGATAACGACAGCCCTGACGCCATGGAATGGCGTGAGGGAAGTGGATCTAGGAGGGGAGTAGAAGTGACGTGAAAAAAGAGGTTCGATTTGGAAGAGAGAGGAGTACAAGGAGGGGTTTGTACCCTCTACAGAAAAGTTCAGTAACAACCTACCGAGCCTATATTAAATTATAACTTATATAATTGTAACAATAAGCTCTGCTACAGATGCTCACCCCATGCATGATGGCCACTGTAGGACGTATAATAACTAGACCCTAGAGCCTATGCATGCCTGAAGGCGACAGGTGATAGGTTTACAACAGCGTCACATTCTGGTATCTACCTTGGAAGTCCCACATCTAGCACAAGCTGTGCTATGTCTAGTAACGTAATAAGGGGAACTCGTCCCTGGGAGACTGGAAACTGGTCCCTGGAAAACAGCCCCTTGTATAGTGCGTGCTCGAATGCAAAGCTTCTCCAATCACCTCCATCGCACAGACCCTGGCTGCTGAGCACGATCCCCTACCCATGGTCTGCTGCCCCGGCTGCACTGTCGCCTGGAGGCAGCGTGAGGCGAGTGCAGTCATCCATGAACAAGCACAAGCTAGATCTGACTTCCCCTTGCTTCAGCAGCACCGTCCGCGCCGACACTCCCTCTGAAACGTCGATTTCCAAACCAGCGCCGACTCTCCCTCCCAGCTTCACGCATGCGCCGGGCGAGCGGCCTTGGCGGTGGCGGTGAGCGCGAGCTGCGAGAACACGGAGAACGCCATCCACGCGTCCAGCACGGCCAGCTGGATCTGGTTCCACCCCAGCCCCTGCCGCCACCACTCCGCCGGGCCCACCCGCCGCGGTTTCATCACGGGCGCGCCCACCAGCTGGTAGTTCATCTCGTCCAGATCCGCCTGTCGCCACCGCTTGTTGTGGTAGATCTTCGCCGCCAGCTGCCCCAGATCCACGAGGCCGTTACACGGTAACCCGTAGTCGATTTCGAGGAGCTTCGCAGCGGCCTCGATCCCGCACCCCCCAATGGGGACGTCGGGGTTTTCGAGGAGCTCGGCGATTTCTTCCGGCATCCGATCGATGTAGAGCATCTGGAGGACCAGGCAGTGGGTGCTGTTGCTGAGCTGGACAAGCGCGACGCTGCCTTCCCGGCCTCGCGATCTGATTGGCTGGCATTTGATGTCCATTCCGAGCATGATTCGGTGCTGGTGGCCGGAGGTTACGTCCCATCCTGCGAAGGACTGGACCCACTCGTTTGCCACGTCAGCCTCGTCCGTTAGGGTTACTGTGATCGGTGGTTGATGCGGATGCGGCTTCACGGAGAGTTTCTGCTTCATTGCTGACCGTTAGATCAAAGAGCGTGCGTGTGAACCGTCGGACAGAATGACTCTGAACCCACGATTAGAGCTGTCCTTGGAAAGCTCGCCTACGTAAATCGCCTGACCATAGAAAAACCCGTTCGGTAATCTTGTAGAGATTCCAACAGGGGAGCAACTACTTGCCCTGCTGTAGTCTGTGATGCGAGGCGGTGATGCTGCACTGCTGTGTTTCAAAGAGCTACTAATGCAACCCAGTAGGCCATTCACAAGCAGCGGCCTAGTATCTACGTTTTGAGAACCCTCCTCCGCAATATCTCGCAGAGATATCTGTAGTCTTCCCCTTGGATGTACAGTCTATCTCGTCAGCAGATAAGCAAATTCGTGGAGCAACGGAGGGCGTGGGAATGGAAGGGAGGATGAATGGAATGGAAGGGAAGGAGAGAAAAGGATGGGTGGATGGGACGGACGGATGGGGCAGATGGGAGGGAGAGGACTGGGTGGGTGGGATGGGGAATGGGGGTTGTCAGACAGAGCGGGCGATAGACGGGACGGAAACGGAAAAGAAGACGGGACGGAACGGAATGGGTGGGAGACAGAATGGGACGGGACGGAAGTCGGAAACGCTGAGGTGCGGTATGATGCGATCCCTTGTAGGAAAGACGGTGATGCACACCCGGGAAAAAAAAGATTTCACACCCTGTCGCAAAATAAGGTTGTCAAACGTGCAACGGAAAATAAAACTTATGATGTGATTGATCGGAGGAAAATAGGGAAAAACGCGTACAGCACCTGTAACCGATATAGGTTGAAAGCCCCATAAATATACTACACTACTACAGTGACTAGGGGAGCCCGTTTGCAATGGAGACACTAGACCCAGAGCTCGTAGGCCTTACTGAGCTTCGAAGACTCGGAGAGCCCGTTTGCACTCTCGGCTGCACCCAGCCCTCCCGGCCGAATCATCGACTGACGGACCATGGTGTCCGACCACAGTGGAGTTTTGATGGTCCACCAGTCGAACAAACGTCACAAACAAGGTTACTTTCTCGCTGTCTAAATGCGCGTAAATACGCCCTCACGAAATGCCAGCAATGCGCTCGACCTGCCATGCCACGACGAGGTCTGGCGAGCGTTGACCTAGGTGTGGCTGCCCAACGCATCAGGGATGTCCTGTTGGATTCCGAGCTTCCATGCCATGGCTGTGTGCTGACACCACGTGCACCTACACGCTGTGGCTGACACCACGTGCGCCTCCTATACGAACCATGGATTTAGATCGAAATTGACGGTGGTCAAACGCTTTTAGCACAACGACCTCCATTGACTTGCTCGTGCGCAGAATGTTGCTCAGCGCAAGAATGCTACAGAGAATGTACTGTTGCATTCAGCAGGCTTCTCTGCCAGCCAGACGCGAGATTCACGAATCACGAGCGGCCCTGCTGGACGCAAGGTATCGCGCCGCGGAAGAAAGAGATTTTCATTCGACTAACCGCCTTCCCTTTCATCCGCCGCTCCGCTCGGCTATTTTCGTCGCCTCGCCGGCTGCTGACTCTCTCACATTTGCAGGTTTTAGTTTCAACTAAACCCGTCAACGCTGCTCGTTAACAAGATCTGCTAAGCATCAGACCTATGCGCTCGCAACTGTAACACCTCCATTACAAAAAACGACTCTCGTTGCTCCACTGCACTGTAACATCATCATGGCTCGACTCTCGTCCCTCAGGCTGCGAGTCGGACTCTCGTCCTCGCCGTCCTCTGGACTTCTCCACCTCCTCCTCCCCTTCGTCGCCGTCGCCCTGCTTCATCGTTCCCATGAGCGCGTCGCCGAGGCGCTTCCCTACGTCCAGGAGTCGGAGAGTAAGTGCCTTTCGAGTCGACTTAAGAGTCGTTTTTAGTCGACCAAACGTCATCTTGAGTCGACTTGCACGTCGCCGAGGCTCGTTGCGTTGCGCGTTGCGTCGTCCGTCCGGGAACGCCCACTGCTGGCAGCAGTCCTGGTCCATCCGTGGTGCACAATCGTCGTCCTGCAATCAGGGCGTTCAACAGCCGCACCCCAAAAACGCTTCCGGTTGACGCCGTGGCTTTTGTTGACTTCCACCAGGCCTGCCATGCCACCATCCCTCAAACGCTAAACATGAGGCGCCTAAAAAATCGTCCCTTCGCACGCTTCCCTTTGCGGTAGTAGCTGCATCCCCATGTGACTGGCTGAGTGGGCCTCCACCAGGCCTGCCACTAGTATCCCTCAAGAGCTAATTCCCGCGGCCCCATCCCAAAAATCCAACCTCGAAAACCTCTATGCTGTCGTCGTGTACAGGTGCCCCGAAGCACCTGGACACAAAGTGCAGGATGAGGTAGTAAACACAAATCCTTAAACGAAGTATCAACACCATCTCCGTGGGTGACGTGGCCACAACCTCCCCATGCCACCCACACATTATTCGCGACAAACTGGGGAGGCCGTGCCCACGTTGCGACCAGTTACTGTCCAGGGACAATGCGAATATAAAGCTTACAGTCCTTCCAGCATGGCGTCACCTCACTGGACACCGACCTAAATGTCGGTCGCGTTGCATTGGTGTAGAGCTCACGCAGCGCAATTGTTTTTTCATCGAAACCGTCGATTTTGATATTTCCGATAAAGCGCGACGTACGACCCCTACACCCAACAAATAAATATTTGACGTATAACATAGTTCATGAAATAATTTATATAAACACAATACATCATACTACAAGCCATTCTAGCACGTAACATTCTAAGGCGTGTGAACAAATTTATGCGAAGCAAATAATCCCTATTCTTGAGGCATTAGCGTTATCTGTAATTTACTTAAACGTACGAAGCATTTGGAAGCAAAATGGCGATCCCTGCACAATGTGAAAAACGCCAAAGTGAGTGATAACACGCAAAAGCTGAAAGGTGACATTCAAATGCTCGCGACTGTTGAAGTGAACTCAAGTATACTTAAACAGCATCTGCGTACCTTCGTACGCGCTGCTGAATACGCCATTGCGTACGACCTGCATGGTTAGAAGTTACAAGTCGAGTAAGTGTGCTTAAATGGACGGATACATACCTGCCAATCTATGGCGCTCTCGCATAGCAGATATTTCATTGCTGCACCGTGTACCATGGTCGCGGACGCTGCGAAACTCACCAGATAGAGACGCAAGTAGCCGTGGCGACGTATGCATGAACGGGTCTGCTGAATGAGAACGACAAGAGCCATGCACCTGAAACGACACAAACAGGGGGAGAGGAAGAAAATGAACTTTGAATCGCAGAACATTCGCAAGAAGGGGCGGAAGAAGCCACGAGAGATAAAACGCGCAAATATCGTGAGAGCGCAAAACGTGAGTGCGTTACCGCGCGAATGAATGAATGGGCGTGAAGATAAAGCAGAGCCACAAAGGGCACTATTTTGGAGGGCATACGAAAAAGGCTCAGAGCAAAACCTAGATTGAGAGCAGGAATTGGTAGAAATAGGAGGCGTGGATGGGTGAGGCTGTGGAGAAGTCGTTGGCATCATTCGGGGCTGTGATGGCGTGAGGATGTGGCGAGTGAAATTGGCACGCTACTTCGTGTAGGCTGATGATTGGTCAGCATTGTACTCATTTATCCGATGTTCTGATGACGTGTCATGAATGTTCCCTGGCGACATCTAACTTCCGCGCTGACTCTGAATGGTTTCTCGAACGCATTTCGCACTGTATGCATTTTCGTTATTTCTTTCGTCAAAACTTCTTGCGCGAGAGGGATACTGGTAAGATGTGGCCCATCCAATCATGTGACATCTTTTCTTTTTTCGCGAGCCAATGGTGTATTGGCTTGAGCGCATTTCGTTTTTGACCCTCAGCGCCTGTGGCTATATCCGTAACCATATTTCTGGTTTTCGCCCTGTCGTCCCTTTTATGATTTGCCAGTTAACTTTCGCTAGCTCTGTTGCTGGGGTTCCCTCCAATAATAAGTCACCGTTGCTTTTCGTGGGCCAATGGCATGGTCTTCGATGTTTTCGATTCGTCTTCATCTGCCCACTCTGCGACCGTTATGGTGGGAGATGCCTGACTGAGTACGTGCTTTGAATGTTTCAACGAGTTGGCGACAAACCGTCGACTCTGTTGCCACAAATGTTACCTGGAACGAAGGGTTCGTTGTTTCCTGGCTTGCCGCAGGGAGTACCAAGAGAGTACCGTGAGAGTACCCCCACCTGTTTCGTTGGTTTTTGGTGCCTTTATGCGTTGTCTCCAGCAGGTTTGTGTACACGTGCTGGCGGGAGGGGGGGGGAGGCGAGATTCGTAATTTTGGGATGCCTCCTCTGCCCATCCTGTTTCTTACATCCGGTAGTGGGGGCCTTGCAGGCTCTCGCGACTGCGTGGGGGGACTACACGTTTGCAGACAGGGACTGCAAAGCTCTTGTCGGATACCTTAACGATCAAAGGCGGCTCTGCGATGAGAATGGCTACATAGTGTCGATCGGGTAAGCCAGCCCGCTCCTTGTCTCAGGCTCATCCCGGTTTTATTTCGTTGTAAATCTTTTTAACAGCGCTTAGTAGCCCAATCGGTCCGACACAATAAACATGGAACCTTTTTGAGGCGTCTCAAAAGTCGTATAGTTTCACCAATGCGTGCAGAAGAACCACAGTTTGGATTCCATCTTTTGAAATTTCACCAGAGTGTCGCTTTGATTGTTGAATGCGTGCAGAAGCTGGGAAACCCCGACGGACCGGTTCCAGATCTCCGGCATTCCAGAGGAGATCAGCGTGCTCACCCACCTCACCACAATGTAAGCCACTGCTGAGGGTAAGCCATGGGCATGTCTTCTCTTCAACCTGAGTGTTGGAAAGCCGGCATAAGGAATGCTATGAGACTCATCCGTATGCTAGTAGCCTCATCGTCTCATCTGCACTTATGTAATATGCGAACCACGAGAGCTCCAGAAATGTTCACCCTTCCATTTGGTCTCTTCACTCTTGAATCCCATCTTGCATACAGAGCTTTACAGGGAGTGACCTTTAAAGGTACACTGGGTCCTCTGGCGAAACTCCCCAACCTCCAGCAACTGTACGTGATACAATGCGCATGTGCTTGTGCCTTTTGAATGTACTCTAAATCCCAACCTCCAGCACCTGTGCGCGCCACAATGCGTGTGTGTTTGTGCCTTGCCTTCTTCGCCTGCGAGCCTCAGCCTATTCACCCAGCAGCAGCACAATGCCTTAGCGCTCACTTGTGCTAGCCCTGCCTTGCTTATCGCCTTCCACTCCTGCTCGTTCGCCCTTTCGATGGGGCCGCGTGTCTCCCCCCAACCTAAAGCAGGGAGATGAGCCGCTGCCCCATCAACACACGGACCCACTAAGCCGTTTCTGATGGGCCTGAAAACCGCCCGAAAGTTTTTCCATCTGCCGATTTGTCTTCTTTTTCCCCCCAACGTAACGCAGCGTGATGATCTACTTCCCCATCAACGCAATCATTCCCGGCTCATTTAGCCAGCTCTCCAATCTCCATTACCTGTACATTCATGCCCCTCCTTTGGTAAAATCTTGCAGTATCTGTCTGTACAGTCACGCCCCCTACATAGGTAGAAATGCTTGTGTCTGTGCCGCCTCAGAATTTGGAAGGCACCTATGACAGGCAAAGTGGCGTAAGTAAGTGGCTGCTCGCCGCCTGCCTATCCGCGTTCTATTATGCCCTGATCTACACATGCAATGGTTGTTCTGTAGCACATACTACGCATCAGAGTCCACACCCCTTACTCTTCCGCCCCTTTTCACCTTCTCTGTCTCTCTCTCTATCTCTCTCTCTCTCTCTCTCTCTCTCTCTCTCTCTCTCTCTCTCTCTCTCTCTCTCTCTCTCTCTTGCCGTTTCTCACTTCTCTCTCCTTTTCAGGAATCTCAGGGACACTTGGATTAGAGGCTCCATCCCGGCACAGTTGGCCCAAATTCCCCTCATTTATTTGTGAGTGTTCTTTTTGGGTTAAATTTTCAGTGTAAGTCTTTGTCTTGAATTGGGAGATTCTTTTCAATTAAATTCTGTGTGATTCTTGGAAATCCTTGTGAGGTATGTTTCGGGAATTAACCCTCTTGTGAGAGTGCAAGTGGAGATATGAAGACGAGTAGAGAAGAGAGGCACACGTTTTGGATTTGTAGGGGGGTTGGAAATAAGTGGAGGTGGAAATATGTGGAGGTGGAAATAAGTGGAGGTGGAAATAAGTGGAGGGAGGGAATGGAAGGCACAGTAAGCATGGGCAAAAGGCCTGTCGAGCGATACTTGCCTCGAGTAACTCCGACTCGCGAAGTGTGCCTGAGCTGGGTTCCTCTTGTTTGGCTCAACTCTTCAAATTTTCGTTATTCTCTGTTGACGCAGCAATGTGTACAACACCAACTTGACTGGCGCAATCCCCTCCTTTGCCAACTGCACTGACATGGAGTATTTGTGAGCGTCTGTGAGCCTTTTCTTTAATTTTTTAAGGAGAGGATGGTATGCATTTGCCTCACTGGAATCGACATCCGCAGCTGGGTAATAACTGTATTCTCACATTTTCTCAAGTATCGTATTTCCCCGTATGAAACACCCATCGGAATTAAGCTCCCCCGGGTAGCTTGAGCGGGTATGGGTGTGTATTTTTTCTGGATATACACAACACCCTACCCTCGGATGTGTATACATTTGAACACCCCCCTGCCGCCTAGAATCTTATATATTTTTTAAAGAAAAACTAGAATTCGCGATGTGAAGATGTGTGCTGCCGTTATTTTTCCTTCCCCTGCTGTGCCAACGGTATCGACATCAGCGGGAGAGGGGAAAACGAGCTAGTTGCCACTGTGCCGCGGGTATTCAGGTAGAAGATCCGAATCTGCCCTGTTGAAAATCCCCTACTAAAAAACGCGGAAATCGAGCACGCCGAGCTGAATCAAACACCCGCTGCCTCCTACTGGTTGGGAAACCGGCACTCATCAGGACTCTGCTGATGCACACCTGCTGCACGTTCACGCCTGCTGCACATGATGTCTGCTTGGCTCTGCACGTTCACTGCCGATGTGGCATGCAACTGGGCCACGTCGTCAGGTACGCGATGTGGTGAACAAAAGTCATCGTTTGACTCAAATGAAGGTGGTGAAACATGCACATTTGAATTCCAATTGGGAATGCCATATGCATGTTCCACAGCTCCTGGGTGTTATATATTTTTTGCCTTTAATTACACCCATCCCAAAATTTTCATGCATTTTTATTAACACCATAGGGTGCTTTATACGGGGGATTACGGTAGTTCTTGTGAGAAATGTACAAGGGTATAAGAGGGAAGAGCAGATGTGATCACAATCACTCACTCCTGCCCCTTTGATGCAGCTATTCAACATTTCTCTCCCTCCCTCATCTCACCATCCCCCCTCCCCCCCTCCCCCCCTACGACTCAGGAATCTTGATGCTATTGGGCTCACAGGCGTCCTTCCTCCGTGTCTTGGTGCTGCTCCCTTGAGTGACATGTAAGCTCTTCTCAACTACTAGCATGCATGCACCATGCATGCACTCTTTCCACTACTTGCAGACCTCCGTGCCAGTCCCACTTGCTCGCATCCATGCCAGCCCCACTTGCTCCCATCCAGGTGCTGCTGTAAAGCATTCCTCAGACGCCGTCTGCTGCTCCCCCCTCCCCCCTGTATGAGCCTCTCCCGCTTCTCCCTTGGTTTGTTCTCCTTCACTCTCCTTGCCCCCTCCCTTCTTCTCATCTCTCTCTTTCTCCCTCCCTGTAGCCCCCCCCAGAGTTATGACCCTGGATTCAACTGCCATGCAGCTGGCATTGTGAGATGCGCTTAAAGCCCCCCCCCCCCCTCCCCCCCCCCCCCCAATCTTCTCTTCGTATTCCCCCCTCCTACTTCGTGCTCTCTCCCTCCCTGCTTGTAACTCCAAGCTTTATGCTCCTGGAATTAAGTGCCTGTGGATAACATTTTGAGGCACTAGAAATCCAACCCCCTCTCCCCCTTCTCCCTTCCCCGCCCCCTCCTCCCCCGCCCCTTCCCCCCAACCCAACCCCCCACCCCACCTTCCCAGGGGTTACGGCCCTGGGATCAAGTGCCCTGCGGATGGGGGCAGCTGCGAGGTGCAGCAGACGAGCGACAGCGTGTTCTGCACTGCCTGCAACAGCTTCTGCCAGACGTGCATCCCAGTGCCTGAGGACCAAGGTAAGCCAAGGGTGTGTGTGGGAACTTCGTATGAGGTGTTAGTAGTGTAGCAACTATTGCCTGCACTGCTTTCAGCTCCTCCTACATCCCGCCTGAGCCTGGCAGGTAGCGCCTGTTGAAAGCCTCCTGAACTTGTGGGTTGTAGTGGGCTATTTTGAGCCTGTTGCGTTCTTTGTGAGCCTGGTGGGTAGTGCCTATTGCTTTATTAGTGAGCCTGATGGGTAGTGACTATAGCTTAAATTACGTGACTGGTGGGTAGCAGCTCTTGCATCCGTCGCCAGCCTGGCGTTTTTGCATTTCTGCCGTAGTAACTGACTTTGACTCTATGTCTGTATGTCTGTTTGTATGTATGTTACAACATTCTTTTGTGCGTGTTTCTTTGTGTGCAGCCCTCCCCTCTACGGCCCTCCCTTCCGAAGCTCTCCCTTCCGAAGCTCTCCCTTCCGAAGCTCTCCCTTCTGAAGCTCTCCCTTCCGAAGGTCTCCCTTCTGAAGCTCTCCCTTCTGACGCTCCCGCTTCCGACGCTCTCCCCTCCAACACTCCCCCTTCCGAAGCTCCCCCTTCCGCAGCTTCCCCTTCCGAGGCTCTCCCACCGGATAGTACAATCCTTCCGCCACTTCCTCCCCCCACTCCTGAACCCACCAATGGCACCGCTTCCAACAACTCAGATACCAGTCCCAACCCCACCACCGATACCACCAAAACAACTGCCAATAACAACACCGCCATCACCACCATTGACAACTCTTCTTCTAACCCCACCAGTGTTGCTTCCTCCAGCTCTGGGCTGTCCACCGGGGCGATTGTGGGCATCGTGGTGGGCGTGCTGCTGCTGGTCGTTGGTGTTGTTGCCGTTGTCTTCATCGTTATTCAGTGCAACAACAGGACCAAAGGTGAGACAGCCCTTCCTCCTCCAACTCCTCTTCCAACGCCAACGCCAGTGCTGCTTCATCAAGCTCTGGGCTGTTCACGGAGGCAATTGTGCGGATAGTTGTGGTGCTGCTGGTGGTTGGTATTGTTGCCGTTGTCTTTATCATTGTGCAATGCAACAATAGGACCAAAGGTGAGATGATAGGACCAAATGAGGAAATAGTACCTAAGGTGAGGTAATAGGACCAAATTGAGACAGTAGGACGAAATATGACAACAAATCCTGGACGTACGGATTGCGCCTCACTCCCTCCCTCCATCTTCGCAGCCGTAGTTCACTCTCTCCCTTCCAAAAGCTTCATTCCTCTATGTGTTGCTTCCTTCTGTGACCTGCTTGCTTTCCCTTCTCCAGCTGTTGAGGTGGAATACGCTGCTCAGGATGGATATGCTAGTTACCAGCCTGGTGTTGCTGCACAGGTGTAATCCAGGTTTCAATGCCTGCTGCACCCACAGATTCTGCGGGCCTCTTGTGAAATCTCCCAATCGAATTTGCGTGATGTGGCACGTACAGGAAATGCGGCTGCTACTAGAATATTTGGGAGGGATTTATGGGGTTATTGACCACAGTGGGAGAAACACCTTGAAAAAGGAGTTATAGAATTGGGGGTAGCAGGAGCTAGCAGGGGTGTTGACGAAGTGTTTTGAATTGCTAAGTGTGTGTGTTTCATCTTGAATTTCGTAGGATGCATACGTATTAGCGGAGATGATAACGCTTGGAAATCAGGAAAAACAGCACCGTAGGGAGAGTAGGGAGAAAGGAAGCTAATCTCTTTTGCCTTCGGATTTCTTCCCTGGCTGAATGACATCGATGACCTCGATGGACAGTGTAGAGCAGGCCCCAAGATTCGTTTTTATGCACGCTGATTTATCATCCTTGTGTCAAGCATATATTTGTATGTTGTTATAGACTACACATGGTTGTGCCTTAGAAAGTACAACCCACTAGGTTATATTCCCTTGTATGTCATGGTTCTATTCATTCGTTAACTTTGATGTGGTATCATGAGTAGGTTAGGTCCCCCCCGCCCACCAGCGCTTCCGTCGTAGGTCCTAGCCACCCCGTCGCCCTCCCGCCCTTGCTGGCCCGTCCCCTAGTGGCCCCTGTCGCCTAGCCGGCCCCGTCGCCTAGCCGGCCTCGTCGCCTAGCTGGCCCCGTCGCCCAGCCGGCCCCGTCGCCTAGCCGGCCTCGTCGCCCAGCCGGCCCCAACGCCTAGGCGACCCTGTCGCCTAGCCGGCCCTGTCCCCCAGCCGGCCCCGCCACCTAGCCAGCCCAGTTGCCTAGCCGACCCCGTCGCCTCGCTGGCCCCGTCGTTTAACCGGCCCCGTCGCCTAGCCGGCCCCATTGCCTAGCCGGCCCTGTCGCCCAGATGGCCCCGTCGCCTAGCCGGCCCCGTCGCCCAGCCGGCCCCGTTGCCTAGCCAGCCCCGTCGCTTAGCCGGCCCCGTCGCTTAACCGGCCCCGTCGCCCAGCCAGCCCCGTCGCCTAGCTGGCCCCGTAGCCTAGCCGGCCCCGTCACTTAGCCGCCTAGCCGGCCTCGTCGCGTCGCCGCACGCGGCCCCGTCTCCTAGCCGCCACGTGGCCCCGTCTTCCAGCCGCCACGCGGCCCTGTCTCCTAGCCGCCACGCGGCCCCGTCACCTAGCCGTCTGCGACCCCGTCTTCAGCCCCCCGCCGGCCCCGTCGTCAGACCGACCCTTGGCCCGGTCGCCTGCCCGCCACCCGGCCCCTGTTGACCAGCCGCCCTGCGGCCTCGCCGCCCAGCCTCCTCGCGGCCCCGTCTCTCAGCTGTCCCTGCGGCTCCCACCTCGCTTCATCGGCCCTTTCCACCGCACTGCACCGCACTCCACCGCCCGCCACCGCCCTGCACCGTCCTGCACCGCACTCTACCGCAGTCTACCGCAGTGCACCGCACCACACCGCACACCACTGCTTCCCGCCGCACTCTGTCGCTCTGTCCAGCCTACTACCGCCTGTCTGCTGCTGCAGCGACCATGATGGCGGACTCGATGGTGCGCTTTGCCGCGGAGGGTTAGCCGGTTGAGTTTGACACGTGGCTCGTCGACCTCCGCCGTCACCTCACTGGTCAGCGGCAGGATGTCCACTCCCTGGCCGTTCACATCGACAGTACACTCCCCTGCCCTGATCCCCCTGTTGCTCTACCCGCTGACCCCACGTCTGCTAACCATGAGTCCGCTGCCGCTGCTGCCCTTGCCCGTGCTGTCTAGTTGTCGCGTGACGCTGTCGCTCAGCTCGTGATTAGACATGCCCCCCCCTTGTCTGAGTGACCTCGCTTTAGGTCGGTCAGGACTGTGCAGGAGTTCCTAGAGGCTGTTCTCGCGCACTATTCCACCCCGCCCTCTGCCTCCGTTGGTCATCTGATCCTGCCCCTGCTGCGGAGCTTGCGGTCGCGGCTGCCGCAATGCAGTTTCATCCGGGTAAGGGTTGCCGTCCCAAGGCTGGGCGCGACGGAGGTAGCGGAGGAGGAGGTGGAGGCAATGGTCGAGGTGGTTCGCCCGCTGGTAGTACTGACGAGGGGGCTGGGGCTAGTGCCTCGGAGCAGCAGCCGCTGCAGCAGCAGCAGTGGGTGCCACAGCTAGACCAGCAGCAGCAGTAGCAGCCGCAGCCACAGCAGCCACAGCAGCACCAGCAGTAGCAGCAGCGGCGGGTCGACCATCTCCCGCCCGGGTAGCCTGGCGCCGGTGGTGGAGGTGGTCACAGTGGCCGGGCGCGCAGCGTGACGTCGGGTGGTGGTCCGAGTGACGGGTGCTGCCAGTACCAGCTCTTGACCGATCCTCACCGCGGCCTCGGCCATACCCCCACTCATTGTTTTAGTCGCATAGACTACCTGTTTTGTCCCCGCTTCGGCCCGGTGCCAGACCTCCCCGACTGGCACAGTGTGCCCCGCTGTGGAGTTAGGATCTTTGATATGGACATGGGTAAGATTAGCTCTAATTTGTTTGTGCCGTATGTCTGATAAATGTGTAGTGTTCTGTGGTGTAGTTTGCTCTAGCTGGTTGTGGGCTATTGGGATTTGGGCAAAAGATGTGGGCTGGTTGGCTAGGTTTGATCTCGTTACCTTTCCAACCCATACAACCCCAAACCCACTACAACATCTTTGATGTTGCAATTGTGGCACTTGGGAGTGTTAGGGTTTGGTCCAGGGCGAGGGTTGGTGGTGTTTGACAATCTCATTCTCGAACTTTTCCAGATCGAACTCCTTCCCTTCTCGTTTTTACTAGGTGATTCATGGCTGCCTAGCCAAATTACCAGAATATCCCCTCACACTGATTTCGTCATAATCGGCGGCTCAGAACTTGGTTATGAACGTGCTTTACCATTCTGGAAAGTAGAGATTAAGACCTTTCCAACGCGTATAAGCTCATTTCTAGAAGTTACCTGAGCTGCACGCAATGTTCTGTTGAGATCGTCAAACTTAATCTCTAATTAGTTCTCTCCGGATTTGCACGATTTCCATCAGTAGTATCAGAGCCACGGTTAGAGGACGTTCTTTCCTCCATTGGAAGAGATCTAGAGAGGCTTGAAGTGCTCCAGATCTAGTGTTTGACATGGCCCAAAAGTTGGATGGCCCTCCTAGGTTTACCGGCTCGGACTTTTCGCTATGGAGGTTCCAGTTCACACTATGGCTAGGTATTAAGGACCTAGAAAGTGTGTTGGATGGATCGGAGAAGCGACCACGAGCTGACTCTGGGGAGGCGTCTACTGGAGCAACCAGCCAAGTGGGATCTGGGGCAGGGGGAGCGTCATTGAGTGGGGGGAATGAAGGAGGAACCGCTGCAACTCGAACCGGAAGGTCGCAACCAAGTCGCGAGGAGTTGCTCAAAGCTCAAGAAGCATGGGATCGGAAGGATCGCCAGGCATTTCAGTACCTGTGTTGGGCTTTGGAGGGGCAACTTGAGCTTCTTAAGATGCTGATTGACCTGAAGGGGAAGGAAGGTGCAGCAGCTGCAGCTTGGAAAAGAGTGCAAGATAGGCACTTGCAGAAAGGGCTTCTAAGCGTGCTTACTTGGTGGAAGCGGTTTTACACCATGGAGCGGAACTATGGGGAGGGGGAGACCATGGTTCAGTATCTCCAGAGGGTGGATGAGAATGTGAGGGCTTTGGAGGAGCTAGATTACACGGTAGATGAGAAGGAGATCATCTATACTACACTCCAAGGGTTGGATCAAGCGGCTAATGAGGCATTACTACAATACCTTCACCTCGAGCAACAGAAATGGACCAAGGTGTGGATTTGGGAGGTTTTAATTTCTGATGAGGCTCGCAAGGTTGATGCTGGAAGAGGCCTAGAAGGAGGCATGGGGGCAGCAGATAAAGCTTCCTTCAGGAAAGGCTATCAACAGCAAGGAGGTGGGGGGAAGAAGAAAGAGTTGGACAAATGCCTTGTGCCCGGATGCAACAAAAAACACTCTTGGAAGAGTTGCTGGAGTAGGCCTGAGGGATGGAAGCCTCACGGCTACTCTGGAGAGGCCCCACCAGTGACCAAACCTGATTGGGTGGAGAAAAGGATGAAGAAGGGGCTCTGGAATAAGAAGGGCAGCAAGGGAGCAACGGCCGCAGCTGCTAAGGATGAGAAGGGGAAGGGCCAAGACGACTCCTCCGATGATGGTTTCTCGTTTCTCATGCTAGGGCAGGATGCATCTCTCGCTGGTCGTGCATTGGCTGATCCCAACTTCCTGGTTCTAGACTCTGGAGCAACATCTGGGATGCTTCCTCGCGGTGATCTTTTCACCTCCTACCATCCTCTCCCACCAAACTCTAGGAGAGTGATTGTTGGGAGCGGAGATTTGCTGCAGGCAATTGGCATCGGCACGATCACCATTAAGGGGAAGGAGGGGGAGCTAGTGGGTGTGAAGGGGGTCCTTCACGTCCCTGGTTTGGCTGCAAACCTCCTTTCATGCTCGCAGCTGGCTAAACAGGGATACGTTTGCACTTTCACTGAGGGAGGGTGTACTGTTAGAAAGGGTGAAGCTGTGGTGATGGAAGCAAAGTTGGACAAGGGTTTATACCTTGTTCCAGCTTGTGTGCCTAATTGTTACAAGGCACATATGGTTTTTCCTGAGGAAGCCGCTTGTAGCACTCGCTGGAGGCAGGTGGAAACGGTGTCACCTGAGTTGCTACACCTTCGCATGGGGCACGCGGGGAAGCAGCAACTGCTGGAGTGTGTGAAGAAGGGGGAGCTGAAGGGGGTGGAGGTCAAGGAAGGAGCTGGGCAGCAGAGCAAATGTCTTGACTGCACAACTGGAAAGCTGCCTAGAACCTCATTCCCTATCTCCTCTGATTATGCCTCGACTCCCCTTGAGCTGGTGCACACGGATGTGTGTGGACCGATGCAAACTCCTGACTGGGAAAAGGGCAGCAGATACTTTGTCACCTTTCTTGATGACTTCAGTCGACTTAGCTGGGTCATCTTGGTGAAGACCAAGGATGAGGTGGCAAAGGTGTTTAAGCGGTGGATATGCTATGTGGAGAGGGAGTCAGGGGCCTTGGTGAAGGTGTTAAGGTCAGATCGGGGTGGAGAGTACCTTGGGAAAGAACTTCAAACCTTCTTGGAAGAAAAGGGTATTACCCACCAGCTCTCTGTACCTTACACGCCACAGCAAAATGGGGCAGCGGAGCGGCTTAACAGGACCTTGACCGATTTGGCTCGGGCCATCCTTGCCCATGCCGAGCTTGATAACACTTGGTGGGGGGCAGCAGTGCAGTATGCCAACTGGGTGAAGAACAGGATGGGCAGCAAGGGGCTTGGAGGCAAGAGCCCATACTCCTTATGGACAGGGAAGGTGCCGAATGTTTCCATGGCACGAGTGTGGGGGTGCATGGCACAGTATAAGGTACCTGACCAGCAAAGGAGGAAGCTAGATCCTAAGGTACAGTGGGGGATCTTCCTTGGGGTTTCTGAGAGGAGCAAGGCTTGGGTGCTGTGGAGTGTAGCTGACCAGCGTGTGATGGAGAGCCGTGATGTGGTTTTCCATGAGGGGCTGAATTTTAAGGGGTGGAAGGAGCATGGTACAAGCCAAAGTGGGACTTCCATACAAGACCCTCATACGGCTTCTATCTTTGAGGGGGCATGGGAGGACCCTGGAGATGAAGAGGAGGAGCAGCAGGAGGAGCCAGAACCAGCTGATCCTAACCATGAGGAGTCCCGAGAGACAGATTCTACCCCTCAGCCCGCCACGCAGGCCGATGCGCGTGATGATCAGCCGGAGCAGCATGTGCCTTCAACTCCATCGAGAAGCAGTTGGCAGCAGTTGTTGAACCAGCAGCTGTCCAAGACTCCAAGGACTCCAATGAAGAGGGTGACTTGGTAGGAGAAGCTGCGGAGGCTGGAAGAAGGAGAGGCAACACCTCTGCGACGCAGTGCTCGAATTTCCCAGCCACCTGAAAGGTTTTCACCGGGGCACATTGCACGCATGCATGATCATCTTGTGTCTGATTTGGATGATTGCATGCTTGTGGACATGCATGGGCATGAGTATGCTATTGATGTGTGTCTAATGGGTCAGGTGCATGAGCCTAGGTCAGTCCATGAGGCGCTGAACCGTCCCGAATGGGTTGAGTCTCACAAGATAAATGGATCATTTGAGCTGGTTGATCCAGCCGTGGTACCACCTGGTTTGGAGGTCCTCAGGTGTCAATGGGTTTGGAAATACAAGCATAACCCTGATGGTACCATTGAGAGGCCTAAGTCCAGATTGGTGGTGATGGGAAACACGCAGAAATTGGGAGTACACTATGAAGAAGTGTACTCTCCAGTTGGGAAGCATGCGACCTTGAGAGGTATGCTTGGAATTTCAGCTGCTTTGGGGCTTGATATCCATCATATGGACGTCAAGACAGCCTTCCTCCATGGGGATTTGGAGGAAGAGCTTTACATGCGGCAGCCCCCTGGTTTTGATGATGGGTCTCACCGAGTGTGTCACCTCAAAAAGTCCATTTATGGGCTAAAGCAAGCCCCACGACAGTGGTACCTAAAATTTGATGAGGCTCTCATGGATTTTGGGTTTGAGAGATCTGAGTGTGACCCTGCCTTGTACCACTTTGTGAGAGATGAGGAGCGGATCTCCTTATTCCTCTATGTGGATGACCTTTTGCTCCTATGCTCTAGCAAGGCTTTGCTAGATCGAGTGAAAGACTTCTTGTCCTCGCGTTTTCGCATGAAGGACTTGGGGGAGGTGAAGTACTACTTGGGAATGCAAATTGAGCGTGATGAGAGTGGTATCTTGATTCATCAAGAGAGGTACATTCTTAACATGCTTCAGTCCTTTGGTCTCTCAGAGGCCAACCCCGTGCGTACTCCTCTCCCAACAGGCTTTGATGTGCATGCCTATGAGGATGAACCCTTGCTGTGAGATGAGCTGGTCAAGCTCTACCAAAGCATTGTGGGATCCCTCATGTATGCTTGTACTACCACACAGCCACAGATTGCCTTTGCAGTCTCACAGCTATCTAAGGTCGCCTCTTGTCCTAAAATGTTTCACTTGCAGGCCGCTAAGAGAGTGCTGAGGTACCTGAAAGGTGGTGTCAAGTCAGGTATCTTCTTCCAAACACAGCCCCAGTCTCAGGTCCAGCTAGTTGGCTTCAGTGATGCTGACTATGCTGGAGATTCCGCAAGTCGCAGGAGCCACAGTGGGTATGTGTTCTGTCTGAATGGGGCAGCTATCTCTTGGCAGAGCAAGAGGCAGCCCGTGGTAGCACTCTCTACCACTGAGAGTGAGTATATAAGTCTGTGTCAGTGCATTCAGGAGGGTGTCTGGCTGAGGCGTTTGTTTGGGGAGTTTGGCCATGATCATGCTGGTGGTGTGCCTGTGTTTGTGGATAATCAGTCTGCCATTGCCCTTGCACAGAATGCATGCTTGCATGGCCGCACCAAACACATGCAGGTCCGGTGGCATTTCATTCGGGAGATGGTAGCTGCGGGTGAGGTGATTTTGCAGTGGTGCCCCACCAACCGTCAGGCTGCTGATATTCTTACCAAGTCTCTTCCATTTGAGCGTCATGGTGTGTGCATGACCTTGCTCGGGATGCAGCCCCATGATGACAGAGTTCCCGCAGCAGATGCTGGCGTCTTGGTGCTCCTCTCCTTGGCGGACTCCATGCTTTGGGTGGCCCCAACCCATGGGCAAGGGGGAGTGGTGTGAAGTCTTTTGCCCTATGGTGTTGAGCCACACCCAGCACGAGCAAGGGGGAGTGATAAATGTGTAGTGTTCTGTGGTGTAGTTTGCTCTAGCTGGTTGTGGGCTATTGGGATTTGGGCAAAAGATGTGGGCTGGTTGGCTAGGTTTGATCTCGTTACCTTTCCAACCCATACAACCCCAAACCCACTACAACATCTTTGATGTTGCAATTGTGGCACTTGGGAGTCTTAGGGTTTGGTCCAGGGCGAGGGTTGGTGGTGTTTGACAATCTCATTCTCGAACTTTTCCAGATCGAACTCCTTCCCTTCTCGTTTTTACTAGGTGATTCATGGCTGCCTAGCCAAATTACCAGAATATCCTCTCATACTGATTTCGTCATAATCGGCGGCTCAGATCTTGGTTATGAACGTGCTTTACCATTCTGGAAATTAGAGATTAAGACCTTTCCAACGCGTATAAGCTCATTTCTAGAAGTTACCTGAGCTGCACGCAATGTTCTGTTGAGATCGTCAAACTTAATCTCTAATTAGTTCTCTCCAGATTTGCACGATTTCCATCAATGTCGACGACTCTAGTGTGACTCGTTCCTATTACCCCGTGTTGCCTAGTGTAGGTGTGCCCAGTGTGCCTAGATCAGGCTCCCCTGCCGCGTCAGGCATAGGATCCTTTGCTTTGTTTAGCCTTGGCTCCACCCTTGCTCCTCCAAACCTTGCCGCCAGTGCCGCGCTCTCCTTCACCATGGACTCCGGCGCTTTATGGTGTTACTTTCAGGACTCCACTACGCTTACGCCGCTTGTCGCTCCTGCTGCAGTTGCCCTTGCAGACCCTTCCTTAGGTCCTGTAGTCGCACCTAGTTCCACCACCCTTCCCTGTCCGGTAGTTCCTTCAGGCTCCCTTATAGGCCTGCACATCCCCTCGTTCTCTAGGAACCTAGTTGGTTTCAGCTGCCTCCAGGTCCTTGGCGTCACCACTACGTTCCCTGGTCATGAGCGATACGCTGTCTGTACCTAGGCCGCCACTAGTGCTCCCCTCACCACGTTCCCCCAGGACCCGGTGTATGACCTATTCACGCTGGACAGCACGTCCCCCCCGATTGGGACGTCTCCCCAGGCGTCTGGGTCTACCCGACGCCTGCTTGCCGCGGCTTGCTTGTGTCAGTCACTTACCCACCCGACGCTTCTGTGGCACCACCGTCTAGGTCACCCTGCCCTCATACGCCTTCGTCACATGTCTCAGCACGGTCTTGGTTTCCATGAGTCGTTCCCCGTGCTACCCTCCTCACCAGCACCACCGTGCACGCCCTGCGTCGAGGGCCGGCTCCGCCGTGCCCCTCACTCCTCCTCGTTTCCCCCCACTACCGCATCGCTGCAGACCCTACACATAGACGTCTGGGGCCGCGTCGCGAGTGCGACTTCCGAGTGCTTATTGACGACTACACGCTCTACACCACGGTGTTTCCCCTGAAGCGGAAGGCTGACGTGCGTGATGTTCTTATCTCGTGGCTTGTCTCTACACCTGTTCACCGAGGTCTCCCTGTGTTGCGTCTTCACTCTAACCACGGTAGCGAGTTCGCCTCTGGTTGCCTTGGTCGTTTCTGTCGTGCGGAGGGCATCACCTAGACGTTCACTCTGGTGGACTCCCCGCAGCAGAATTCGCTGAGCGACGCATCAGTTTGGTCATGGAGGTGGCTCGTACCTCCATGATCTATGCCGGTGCACTCCATTTTCTGTGGCCGTTCACTGTTCGCTACGCCGCTCACCAGCTTAACCTGTGGCCGCACCCTCAGCGGCCGCAAGTTCCGCCGACCCTCCTTTGGACCGGGTCCCCTGGTGACGCGTCTGCATTCCACGTCTGGGGCTGCCTTGCTCACGTTTGTGCTTCTGACATGGACAAGCTCACTCATTTGACTGGCACTTCTACCACCCGCCGTCTCACCGCTTGTTTCACTCCCGCGACGTCACCTTTGGCGAGTTTGACTCCTTTTACCACCGCTTTCCCCACCGTGGTCCCCTGGTTAACCCCCCCCTCGTTCGTGGTTCTCCATCCCCCAATCGCCCCGGCTCCCCCCCCTCCCCTCCCTGCCTCGTCTGGTGTGTCTCACGTCACCCCTCTCCATTCAGGTGTCCCAGCCAAGGAGTCTGCTGACTCTCGTGGCTCTGCGGAGTCCCTCCCCCCGCCCCTCCCCGCCCCGGTCTCTCCTCCCCCGTTACCACCATTGCTGTCACTGCCGCAGCTGCCTCCGTCGCTGCCGTTGGCGCCGCGGCCGCAGCCGCCGTTGTCACTGCCGCTAGGGTTCGTGCATTCTGGGGGTGCTGGGGAGCGTGCTGGAGCAGGTACTGGAGCTGGTTCCCCCTCTGGAAATGCTGGCGTGGAGCTTCTCGGAGGGAGCCGTGCTGGCGCTGGAGGTTTTGGTGTGGGAGTCGAGGAGCAGCCGCAGCAATCGCCGCCGGTGTCCGCTCTTCGCCTCCTCGGTCTTCCTCTTGCTCACTGCCTGCCTGTACCTCCTCCGTTGGTGCCGCCTCCTCCTCCGCCGGTCTACGGCCCAGTGTTTCCTCCACCAGCCTCCTCTCTGGCTCGTTTCCCTCTCTGTTCTCTTCCTATATCTCCCCCCCTCTCCTGACCCGACTCCTCCATCTCACGTCTGGTCTCGTCGTCCTTCTCGTGCTCATCCTACCTCCCCTGTTCAGCAGTCTCACCCTTTGTTGCTACGCTCCCACGCGTCTCGTGCTCCTCTGCTCCTCCCGTCTCCTCCTCCGTCGTCTCATGCAGTGGCCCCGCCTCCGTTCTCTAACTTCCACCGTGCCGCGCGTCCCCTTGTTCCTCATATCCTTGCCTCTCTTGTTACTGACCGATCCGTTCTTGTCTCGAGTCTGTCGGCTCTTGTCGCTGCTGTCACTAACTTTGACACTTCCTGCCGCCTTGACTATGCCACCTCTCTGGTCTCTAACCATGCCTGCCCTCCGTCCGTCGGGGGTGTGGCTGCCCTTGGCAGTGACGTCCTAGAAGACAGGCAGTACGAGCTCGCATTCCTGTCTGTGGCCGCTCCCCATCTTTGTTCCATGCTGCTAGTCCCTGAGGGTGACCCAGACGCCCTTGACATCCCGACCCCTCGCACCTAGGCTGAGGCCACTTCGGGACCCTGGGCCTCTCAATGGATAGTTGCCATGGAGCAGGGGATGGTATCTTGGAGATCCACCAGTACCTTTGCCGACGCAGTTCCCCACCTGGGGTGAACATAGTGGATGGCTGATGGCTCTTCAAGATGAAGCGCCCTCCTAGAGAGCCGCCTGTCATCAAGGCGCGCTACGTTGCTCGAGGCTTCAGTCAGGGTGAGGGGGTGGACTTCTTTCAGACCTTCTCCCCGAACCTGAAGATGACTACTCTTTGGGTGCTGCTACACGTAGCAGCACAGCGTGATTATGAGCTCCACTCCCTCGACTTCTCCAGAGCTTTCCTCCAGGGCAGTCTACACAAGCAAGTCCACCTGCGCCGCCCCCAAGGCTTCTCCGGTACCTTTCCCCCAGGTACTGAGTGGCTCCTCCGGCGCCTCGTCTACGGCTTGCGACATGCGCCCCGTGAGTGGCACGATACGCTGCGTGCTACACTTGCTGACTTGAAATTCTTCCCATTGTCTGCAGACCCCTCGCTCTTCGTTCGTTCCGGCAAGGCTCTGTTCTACATCCTTGTCTACGTAGACGACCTGGTCTTTGCCACTACAGACAGAGACGCGCTGGCCTTCGTGAAGGCCGGGCTGCTGAGGAGACACACGTGCACTGACCTAAGAGAGCTGCGCCGCTACCTTGGCTTGCAGATCTCTAGGGAAAGAGCAGTGCGCACCATCACTCTCTCACAGTCACACTTGGTGCGCCAGGTTCTTCAGAGGTTCGGCCTTCAGTTCTCTTCCGCACAGCCCACCCCTCTGCCAGTAGACCACAGACTCTCTGCTCCAGTCCCGGAGGAGGCTGTAGAGCCTTGTGGTCCCTACACAGATCAGGTGGGTTGCCTCATGTAATTCCGACTCGCGAAGTGTGCCTGAGCTGGGTTCCTCTTGTGTGGCTCAACTCTTCAAATTTTCGTTCTTCTCTGTTGACGTAGCAATGTGTACAACACCAACTTGACTGGTGCAATCCCCTCCTTTGCCAACTGCACTGACATGGAGTATTTGTGAGCGTCTGTGAGCCTTTTCTTTATTTATTTTTAGGAGAGGATGGTATGCATTTGCCTCACTGGAATCGACATCCGCAGCTGGGTAATAACTGTATTCTCACATTTTCTCAAGTATCGTATTTCCCCGTATGAAACACTCGTCGGAATAAAGCTCCCCCGGGTAGCTTGAGCAGGTATGGGTGTTTAATTTTTTCTGGATATACACAACACCGTACCCTCGGATGTGTATACATTTGAACACCCCCCTGCCGCCTAGAATCTTATTTTTTTTAATAAGAAAAACTAGAATTCGCGATGTGAAGATGTGTGCTGCCATTATTTTTCCTTCCCCTGCTGTGCCAATGGTATCGACATCAGCGGGAGAGGGGAAAACGAGCTAGTTGCCACTGTGCCGCGGGTATTCAGGTAGAAGATCCGAATCTGCCCTGTTGAAAATCCCCTACTAAAAAACGCGGAAATCGAGCACGCCGAGCCGAATCAAACGCTCGCTGCCTCCTACTGGTTGGGAAACCGGCACTCATCAGGACTCTGCTGATGCACACCTGCTGCACGTTCACGCCTGCTGCACACGATGTCTGCTTGGCTCTGCACGTTCACTGCCGATGTGGCATGCAACTGGGCCACATCGTCAGGTACGCGATGTGGTGAACAAAAGTCGTCGTTTGACTCAAATGAAGGTGGTGAAACATGCACATTTGAATTCCAATTGGGAATGCCATATGCATGCTCCACAGCTCCTGGGTGTTATATATTTTTTGCCTTTAATTACACCCATCCCAAAATTTTCATGCATTTTTATTAACACCATAGGGTGCTTTATACGGGGGATTATGGTAGTTCTTGTGAGCAATGTACAAGGGTAGAAGAGGGAAGAGCAGATGTGATCACAATCACTCACTCCTGCCCCTTTGATGCAGCTATTCAACATTTCTCTCCCTCCCTCATCTCACCATCCCCCCTCCCCCCCTCCCCCCCTACGACTCAGGAATCTTGATGCTATTGGGCTCACAGGCGTCCTTCCTCCGTGTCTTGGTGCTGCTCCCTTGAGTGACATGTAAGCTCTTCTCAACTACTAGCATGCATGCACCATGCATGCACTCTTTCCACTACTTGCAGACCTCCGTGCCAGTCCCACTTGCTCGCATCCATGCCAGCCCCACTTGCTCCCATCCAGGTGCTGCTGTAAAGCATTCCTCAGACGCCGTCTGCTGCTCCCCCCTCCCCCCTGTATGAGCCTCTCCCGTTTCTCCCTTGGTTTGTTCTCCCTCACTCTCCTTGCCCCCTCCCTTCTTCTCATCTCTCTCTTTCTCCCTCCCTGTAGCCCCCCGAGGGTTATGACCCCGGATTCAACTGCCATGCAGCTGGCATTGTGAGATGCGCTTAAAGCCCCCCTCCCCCCCCCCCCCCCCCCCCCCCCCTCTCCCAATCTTCTCTTCGTATTTCCCCCTCTCAGCTTCGTGCTCTCTCCCTCCCTGCTTGTAACTCCAAGCTTTATGCTCCTGGAATTAAGTGCCTGTGGATAACATTTTGAGGCGCTATAAATCCAACCCCCTCTCCCCCTTCTCCCTTCCCCGCCCCCTCCTCCCCCGCCCCTTCCCCCCCAACCCAACCCCCCACCCCACCTTCCCAGGGGTTACGGCCCTGGGATCAAGTGCCCCGCAGATGGGGGTAGCTTGGAGGTAAAGCAGACGAGCGACAGCGTGTTCTGCACTGCCTGCAACAGCTTCTGCCAGACGTGCATCCCAGTGCCTGAGGACCAAGGTAAGCCAAGGGTGTGTGTGGGAACTTCGTATGAGGTGTTAGTAGTGTAGCAACTATTGCCTGCACTGCTTTCAGCTCCTCCTACATCCCGCCTGAGCCTGGCAGGTAGCGCCTGTTGAAAGCCTCCTGAACTTGTGGGTTGTAGTGGGCTATTTTGAGCCTGTTGCGTTCTTTGTGAGCCTGGTGGGTAGTGCCTATTGCTTTATTAGTGAGCCTGATGGGTAGTGACTATAGCTTAAATTACGTGACTGGTGGGTAGCAGCTCTTGCATCCGTCGCCAGCCTGGCGTTTTTGCATTTCTGCCGTAGTAACTGACTTTGACTCTATGTCTGTATGTCTGTTTGTATGTATGTTACAACATTCTTTTGTGCGTGTTTCTTTGTGTGCAGCCCTCCCCTCTACGGCCCTCCCTTCCGAAGCTCTCCCTTCCGAAGCTCTCCCTTCCGAAGCTCTCCCTTCTGAAGCTCTCCCTTCTGACGCTCCCGCTTCCGACGCTCTCCCCTCCAACACTCCCCCTTCCGAAGCTCCCCCTTCCGCAGCTTCCCCTTCCGAGGCTCTCCCACCGGATAGTACAATCCTTCCGCCACTTCCTCCCCCCACTCCTGAACCCACCAATGGCACCGCTTCCAACAACTCAGATACCAGTCCCAACCCCACCACCGATACCACCAAAACAACTGCCAATAACAACACCGCCATCACCACCATTGACAACTCTTCTTCTAACCCCACCAGTGTTGCTTCCTCCAGCTCTGGGCTGTCCACCGGGGCGATTGTGGGCATCGTGGTGGGCGTGCTGTTGCTGGTCGTTGGTGTTGTTGCCGTTGTCTTCATCGTTATTCAGTGCAACAACAGGACCAAAGGTGAGACAGCCCTTCCTCCTCCAACTCCTCTTCCAACGCCAACGCCAGTGCTGCTTCATCAAGCTCTGGGCTGTTCACGGAGGCAATTGTGGGGATAGTTGTGGTGCTGCTGGTGGTTGGTATTGTTGCCGTTGTCTTTATCATTGTGCAATGCAACAATAGGACCAAAGGTGAGATGATAGGACCAAATGAGGCAATAGTACCTAAGGTGAGGTAATAGGACCAAATTGAGACAGTAGGACGAAATATGACAACAAATCCTGGACGTACGGATTGCGCCTCACTCCCTCCCTCCATCTTCGCAGCGTAGTTCACTCTCTCCCTTCCAAAAGCTTCATTCCTCTATGTGTTGCTTCCTTCTGTGACCTGCTTGCTTTCCCTTCTCCAGCTGTTGAGGTGGAATACGCCGCTCAGGATGGATATGCTAGTTACCAGCCTGGTGTTGCTGCACAGGTGTAATCCATGTTTCAATGCCTGCTGCACCCACAGATTCTGCGGGCCACTTGTGAAATCTCCCAATCCAATTTCCGTGATGTGGCATGTACAGGAAATGCGGCTGCTACTAGAATATTTGGGAGGGATTTATGGGGTTATTGACAAAAGTGGGAGAAACGCTTTGAAAAAGGAGTTATAGAATTGGAGGTAGCAGGAGCTAGCCGGGCTCTTGACTGTAATAATTTGACAGGTGGTGCAGGAGACTAAGGATCTTTGTTGGAATGGTAGACTAGTTTGACAGCGGAAGTCTTATAGGAGTGAACCTGAGCACATGAACTTGTGGGTAGTCGAAGGTTGAATTACTTGAGCACATAATTCTGTGGAAAGTCAAGGTTAATAATAGAAAAGGCATTACAAGGATTTTATAGCTCTACGGAAAGTACCTGTTCGGCTAGTTGCTCGCTATGCGACCTATTCGTCATACTATAGGGTCGCGACTGTTCGCGTGACTGAAAACGGTTCGTTACGCCTATTCGCGTAAATGAAGCGGTATGCTGACATCATTCCCGAGACCCGCGATGTTTTGCTGACATCAGCACTCGAGCCTGTTTCCTTACTCAGAAACGCGATACTGCAAGCTACACCAAAATGGACCTTGCAGGAATGCAAAACTTGAATTATCAAAACATTGACGAAGTGCTTTGAATTGCTAAGTGTGTTTCATCTTGATTTTTGAAGGATGCATACGTATTGGTGGAGATGATAACGCTTGGAAATCAGGAAAAACAGCACCGTAGGGAGAGTAGGGAGAAAGGAAGCTAATCGCTTTTGCCTTCGGATTTCTTCCCTGGTTGAATGACTTCGATGACCCCGATGGACAGTGTAGAGCAGGCCCCAAGATTCGTTTTTAGGCACGCTGATTTATCATCCTTGTGTCAAACATATCTTTGTATGTTGTTATAGACTACACATGGTTGTGCCTTAGAGAGTACAACCCACTAGGTTATGCTCCCTTGTATGTCATGGTTCTATTCATTTGTTAACTTTGATATGGTATCATGAGTAGGTTTGGTCCCCCCCGCCCACCAGCGCTTCCGCCGTAGGTCCTAGCCGCTCCGTCACCCTCCCGCCCTTGCTGGCCCGTCCCCTAGTGGCCCCTGTCGCCTAGCCGGCCCCGTTGCCCAGCTGGCCCCGTCGCCTAGCCGGCCCCGTTGCCCAGCTGGCCCCGTCGCCTAGCCGGCCTCGTCGCCCAGCTGGCCCCGCCGCCTAGCCGACCCTGTCGCCTAGCCGGCCCAGTCGTTTAGCCGGCCCCGTCGCCCAGCCGGCCCCATCGCCTAGCCGGTCCCGTCGCCCAGCCCTCCCCGTTGCCTAGCCGGCCCTGTCGCTTAGCCGGCCCTGTCGCTTAACCGGCCCCGTCGCCTAGCTGGCCCCGTAGCCTTGCCGGCCCCGTCACTTAGCCGCCTAGCCGGTCTCGTCGCTTCGCCGCTCGCGGCCCCGTCTCCTAGCCACCACGCGGCCCCGTCTTCCAGCCGCCACGCGGCCCTATGTTCTGGTCGCCACGCAGCCCCGTCACCTAGCCGTCTGCGACCCCGTCTCCTAGCCCCCCGCCGGCCCCGTCGTCAGACCGCCTCGCAGCCCGGTCGCTTGCCGGCCACCCGGCTCCTGTTGACCAGCCACCCTGCGGCCTCGCCGCCCAGCCTCCTCGCGGCCCCGTCCCTCAGCTGCCCCTGCGGCTCCCACCTCGCTTCATCGGCCCTTTCCACCGCACTGCACCGCATTGCACCGCACTCCACCGCCCGCCACCGCCCTGCACCATCCTATACCGCACTCTACCGCAGTCTGCCGCACTGCACTGCACCGCACCGCACACCAGTGCTTCCCGTCGCACTCTGTCGCTCTGTCCAGCCCACTACCGCCTGTTTTCTGCTGAAGCGACCATGATGGCAGACTCGATGCAGCACTTTGACGCGGAGGATTAGCCGGTTGAGTTCGACACGTGGCTCGTCGACCTCCGCCGTCACCTCACTGGTCAGCGGCAGGACGGCCACTCCCTGGCCGTTCACATCGACGGTACACTCCCCTGCCCTGACCCCCCTGTTGCTCTACCCGCTGACCCCACGTCTGCTAACCGTGAGTGCGCTGCCGCTGCTGCCCTTGCCCGTGCTGTCTAGTTGTCGCGTAACGCTGTCGCTCAGCTCGTGATTAGACATGCCCCCCCCCTGTATGAGCGCCCTCGCTTTAGGTCGGTCAAAAATGCGCAGGAGCTCATAGAGGCTGTTCTCGCGCGCTATTCCACCCTGCGCTCTGCCTCCGTTGGTCATTTGATCCTGCCCCTGCTGCGGAGACAGCCGCCGCTGGTGCCGCGTTGCAGTTTCGTCCAGGTAAGGGTTGCCGTCCCAAGGTTGGGCGTGACAAAGGTAGCGGAGGAGGGGGTGGAGGCAGTGGTGGAGGTGGTTCGCCCGCTGGTAGTACTGACGAGGGGGCTGGGGCTAGTGCCTCGGAGCAGCAGCCCTAGCAGCAGCAGCAGCGGGCGCCACAGCTGGACCAGCAGCCGCAGCCACAGCCACAGCAGCCGCAGCAGCTGCGGGTTGACCGTCTCCCGCCCGGGTGGCCTGGCACCGGTAATGGAGGTGGTCATAGTGGTCGGGCGTGCAGCGTGACGTCGGGTGGTGGTCCGAGTGACGGGCGCTGCCAGTACCAGCTCCAGACCGATGCTCGCCGCGGCCTTGGCCATACCCCCACTCATTGTTTCAGTCGCCTTGACAACCTGTTCAGTCTCTGCTTCGGCCCAGCACCAGACCTCCCCAACTGGCACAGTCTGCCCCGCTGTGGAGTTTGGATCTTTGATATGGACATGGATGAGATTAGCTCTACTTTGTATGTGCTGTATGCCGATAACTCTAGTGTGACTGGTTCCTATTACCCCGTGTTGCCTAGTGTAGGTGTGTTTAGTGTGCCTAGATCTTCCCTGCTGCGTCAGGCATAGGATTCCCTGCTTTGTTTAGCCTTGGCTCCACCCTCGCTCCTCCAACCCTTGCCGCCACTGCCGCGCTCTCCTTCACCCTAGACTCCGGCGCGTCATGGTGTTACTTTTGGGACTCCACTACAATTACGCCGCTTGCCGCTCCCATCGTAGTTGCCCTTGCAGACCCTTCTCAGGTCCTGTAATCGCACCTAGCTCCACCACCCTTCCCTGTCCGGTAGTTCTTTCGGGCTCCCTTATAGGCCTGCACATCCCCTCGTTCTCTAGGAACCTAGTTGGTGTCAGCTGCCTCTAGGACCTTGGCGTCACCACTACATTCCCTGGTCACGAGCGATACGCTGTCTGTACCTAGGCCGCCACTAGTGCTCCCCTCACCACATTCCCCCGGGACCCGGTGTCTGGCCTATTCACAATGGGACACCGCGTCCCCCCCGGTTGCGACGTCTCCCCAGGGGTCTGGGTCTACCCAGATTGCCGCGGCTTGCTTGTGTCAGTCGCTTACCCACCCGATGCTTCTGTGGCACCACCGTCTAGGTCACCCTGCCCTCACACGCCTTCGTCACATGTCTCAGTACGGTCTTGTCTTAGGTTACCATGAGTCGTTCCCGCGCTACCCTCCTGACCAGCGCCGCCGTGCACGCCCTGCGTCGAGGGCCGGCTCCGCCGTGCCCTTCACTCCTCCTTGCTTCCTGCCACTGCCGCACCGCTGCAGACCCTACACATGGACGTCTGGGGCCCCGCCCCCGTCCATGGGCCTCATTGCAAGCGCTACTTCCTAGTGCCTGTTGATGACTACACGCACTACACCACGCTGTTTCCCCTGGATCGGAAGGCTGACGTGCCTGACGATCTTATCTCGTGGCTTGTCTCTGCACCTGTTCACTGAGGACTTCATGTGTCGCGTCTTCACTCTGACCTCGGTGGCGAGTTTCGCCTCTGGTTGCCTTGGTCGTTTATGTCGTGCGGAGGGCATCACCCACACGTTCACTCTGTTGGACTCCCCTCAGCAGAATGGGGTCGCTGAGTGACGCATCGGTTTGGTCATGGAGGTGGCTCGTACCTCAATGATCTATGCCAGTGCACCCCATTTTCTGTACCCGTTCGCCGTTCGCTACGCCGCTCACCAGCTTAACCAGTGGTCGCACCCTAAGCGGCCGCAAGTTCTGCCGACCCTCCTTTGGACCGGGTCCCCTGGTGACGCGTCTGCATTCCACGTCTGGGGCTGCCTTGCTCACGTTTGTGCTTCTGACATGGACAAGCTCACTCGTTTGATTGGCACTTCTACCACCCGCCATCTCACCGCTTGTTTCACTTTTGCGACGTCACCTTTGACGAGTCTGGCTCCTTTTACCACCGCTTTCCCCACCGCGGTCCCATGGTTACCCCCCCCCCCATTCGTGGTTCCCCATCTCCCGGTCGCCCCGGCTCCCCCCCCTCCCCTCCCTGCCTCGTCTGGTGTGTCTCACGTCACCCCTCTCCATTCGGGTGTCCCTTCGGAGGAGTCTGCTGACTCTCGTGGCTCTGCGGAGTCCCTCCCCCCGCCACTCCCTGCCGCGGTCTCTCCTCCCTCGTCACCGCTGTTGCTTTCACCGCCGCAGCCACCTCCGCCGCTGCCATTGGCGCCGCGGCCGCAGCCGCCGTCGTCACCGCTGCTAGGGTTCGTGCGTTCTGGGGGTGCTGGGGAGCGTGTTGGAGCGGGTACTGGAGCTGGTTCCCCCTCTGGAAATGCTGGCGTGGAGCTTCTCGGAGGGAGCCGTGCTGGCGCTGGAGGTTTTGGTGTTGGAGTTGGGCCTGCTCGGCGTCTGCTCGGCGCCGGCGTCTGCTCTTCGCCTCCTCGGCCTTCCTTTTGCTCACCGCCCCTTCCTTTTGCTCACCGCCTGCCTGTACCTCCTCCGTCGGTGCTGCCTACTCCTCAGCCGGTCTACGGCCCAATGTTTCCTCCACCGGCCTCCTCTCTGGCTCGTTTCCCTCCCCGTTCTCCTCCTGTATCTCCCCCCCTCTCTCCTAACCCGACTCCTCCGTCTCACGTCTGGTCTCGTCGTCCTTCTCGTGCTCGTCCTACCTCCCCTGTTCAGCAGTCTCACCCTATGTTGCTACGCTCCAACGCGTCTCGTGCTCCTCCGCTCCTCCCGTCTCCTCCTCCATCATCTCGTGCAGTTGCCCCGCCTCCGTTGTCTGACTTCCACTATGCCGCGCGTCCCCTTGTTCCCCTTGTCCCCTTCTTCACAAAGCCACTATCATGAATGATATTCATTACATTTCATCTTTGGCGTCTACATCAGCCTCCAGTTCCCCCCCATCATCCATGGGGCCACTACAATCATCATCATCCATCTTCTCATTTCCCTTCCTGCTTTGGGGGCTGGGCCGACTGGTGGAATAGGGCCT